TAAGTGTGCATGCTTGTATGAGGACATTGAACAGATGAGTTTTCTTTGTGCTAACAACCTAGAAACCTACCCATTACACCAGTACCCACAACTCACTCCTTATAGGTAAATGCCCTACCTACTTCCAGGTTGTTCCAACTTTCTTGCCTTATCACATAATGGTTCTCCTGGTAAAATCTAGGGAGAATTTTCTACTTAACATTCCACCTAATGTTATCTAATGTCTGAGTTAACCATTTTATGATATTGTTGTTCCAGAAAGTAAGGAAGGCGAGCAGCTACTGTAGTTTTAAGGAAACCGAATGTGTAAAGTTTGTTTTTGGTGTAAGAAGCAAGTCAGGTATTGAATAAAGAATAAAAAGAATAAAGATTTTATTTGTTTGTAAAAGTTGCAGTGTGTAATTACAGTTTTGGTTTGCTAAGTACAAAGAAAGCCACTATCATGCTGGGGCATTTCAGGCAGACTAATCCTGGTACATAATGACTACTTAAATCTAGACAAGAGTGGTTATCCTTTATTAAAATCTTTATTTAATCTTAATACTAATGTGAGGTAGTCAGGGTGAAGGTTTATAAGAATAATAATCTTGAAGATGTACATAATAAAACAATGTTACAGTTAATGGTTCAAGCAGTAATATTTCATGGACTGACAGATGTTTAATAGACTAGAGGTCATATAATATAAATAACTGATTAGAAGTTGTTTTGGCTGGTTTGGTTAGTATTGAGAAATGAGATGATTTTTAAGCAGAGTCCTAAATTTATAAGTAGTCAGGGGGTCCATTATTGGTTCAGGTAGTGAATTGGGTGTTGCAACATCACTTAGGCATTATACAGTATGTTAATACACAGTAAATACACATTCTACTCTTTTTAGTAAGAGTTTCATTACATTCACAGGCATTCCACTTATCTCTTTGCATACATAAAAAAATTTAGTCAATTAGTTCAGGAAATGCAAAGTAAAAGTACTATAGCAGTTATGTAAAGATTAATTATGTTTATTAAATAAGATAAATTCATAAATGTTATTCAGTTTTGCAGTTTTACAAAATTATTTACCTTACATAAATTATTTTATGCAAAATGGCCCTCCTAGGAAAATCAGTTGTCAGATGGGAATGGGTTGTCACGTGGAAATGCATTGTTTTAAGGGAATCATTTGTAAAATAGTTGTCTTGCCAGGAGTGTGCAGACATCACAAATGAAATGACTCGACTGTCTGAGCTGCAACATCCCCACTTCTCTTTCAGAGTGCAGGAACTGTGCTTTCCCATCCCAGGTCCTAAATCTGGTTAACCATTTTTCATTAATCCCTTCATAAATGTTATCCTGCTCACACTTCAGCAGCAAGTCAGGCTATAAAAACCACTTGTCTCCACCCACTGATCTAACACATTAATGCAAGTCTCCTGGATGCTCAAGCCTTTAGCAGTCAAAACCTTCTTTATCCTCTCCATCCAATCCTTCCTGGGATGATGTCTAACCTCTCCTTCCACCCCAGAATTATTTAACCTCTTGGTCATCATATCCTGCTCCATCCTCCCTGAATGCCCAATTCACCTCAACAACTCTGCCTAGCCGTGCGCTCCAAATTCTCTGCATTATATTCACCCCATTGCATTATTCTCACACGTGACACCTCTACTGCCTCTGGCCTCCTTCTTGCTGCATTGTTTAAAGACTATCCCTCCCACCCATATAAAAGTATTGGTATCACCATACTCTGATACAATGTACAACATGTTCGATTGAACATACTATGTAAAATGTTTAATTAAATTTTTTTGCTTTATTTCCAATAATATGTAAAAGATCTTATCTAATAGTATGAGTTTGTTGGTTGTCATCTAAGTACTATATATATCTTTACAGTATTGTTAAGAACCACTGTATCTGGATTTTAGATAACAGGAGTTGTCATCTGCGAACCGAACTGGTTTAAGTTCCTAAGACGCATTAGGTAGGTAATTGGTGTAAATGAGAAATAATAGAGGGCTTAAGAGTTGACGACATACACACTATTATGAAAAGTCAAATGTTGGTGTCTGTATGTGACAGCATGGTCTCTGATTCCATAATATTCTAGTTGAAGTTGCAGGATTCTCTGATCTACCGTATCAAAAGCTTTTTCATAGATCAGTAAAGAAACAATACATTGGATATTCATTATACTCTAAAGTTGTATAGAGTCAATCCTTTATATTAATGCTTTATTTGTAATATATCCTGGCTTGAAACCAGACTTATCAAAATTATTATGTTTAGTTATGAATGCATACATTTCTTATGCATTATGTGTTCATAAATTGTAGATAATAATAATAGTTTAATATCTTTATTATGCACCCCATACCCATCCTGTGGGCAGTAGTCAAAAGATTACAAATGTACATAATGGGTCCAGGGACTGGGCTGTAAAGTTTTAATAGCTAAACAAATTACAGTGGTAATGAACTATATACATGTTTATATCTGGTTACAATTGTAATGAGTTAGATAAAATAGCAAATTAGAGTACACAGATAACCTGCACGTAGGAGATAGGAGCTTATGACAATGTTTCAGTCCGACTTGGACCATTTACAAAGGTTGTCTTAAGCTCCTCTCTCCTACATGTGGGTTATCACAGTATTGTACCTTTTTGTTCTTTTTGACAAATTAGAACTCGGCAAATTAAAAACTGGCCTCTAGTTATTGATTTTTGTTGGGTCTCCACTTTTGTGGAATGGTATAACCCTTGCTAGCCTGTGGTAAGTATGGTGAAGGAAAGTTTTGGCTTCTGTTATTTATTGAACGTGCCGCAATGGTTGGCAATAGTATTGTATATGAGCAACTTTTTATTATTGCTATGTATGGTGGTACAGTATATTGGCTTTGTTTCTTTCTTTGTGTTTTAGTGAATACATTATTGAAGTTACCTCTGTAGAATTGTTGACACTAGGTATAGAGAACTATGGGAGTGTGGGATTTTGTTGACTGGGTTTGATCTATTAGTCAAGAAGATATTATAATATTTGTTTATTTGCTGTTCCAGTGATTGGAATAGGAGGTTCTTTTGGTTTATTGAATATAATTTCTTTGGTATTTTAGAGAGTGCTTTCTAGGTTTTTTAAATGTTTTTTTTGTCACTGAATTTGTTAGCATAATACAGATTTTGGGTATCTTTATTAGCTAGGTAAGCATTGATGTATATATTTTCTGTTAGTTCTTTGGGTATTGGGCTCCATCTTTTTTTTTTTTTTTTCATAGATAAGCTTTTTTTTTCAATGGTTCTGAGAATGCTGTTGGTTAGCCATGGTGTATTTAATCTTTTTACTGTGACCCTTGTAGCGTTTATTGTAAGTCTTGAATTTTTGTAGGAATACAGTGGTACCTCAGGATATGAACTTAATTTGTTCCAGAAGGCTGTACGAGTGCCAATACCGAATGAATTTGTTCCCATAAGGAATAATGTAAATTAGATTAATCTGTTTCAGAACCCTAAAAATACACTTACAAAAGTGCTTAAATAAATACACCTACATAATTGTTCGAGTTTTGAGCTGTTCATATCCCAAGGTACCACTGTATATGGACAGATGAGTTAAAAAAAAATGTAAATGTCTTGATCATTGTTAACTTCTCTGCTAGTCAGTGTTATTGATTGCTATGGGGAAGTTATTTACTGATGCCTCATCAGTGATCCTAAATGAGATTTTATTAATTTCAGATGATAATTTTATGTTGTTGACTAGGAAGGTTTAGTAATGATCAGTTGTTTTGTCAGTGATAATGGCTGTGTCTAGAGCAGCTATTATTTTTGTCTAAATTTGGTCAAGTGATGATGCAGTTGTCTTAGGTATTCAAAGTAATTCTATAGTAGATGAGTAACTGTAGGGTAGAGAGCATCTCTGAACCTGAGAGTAACAAGTATGGGCATGTGATCGACAGGGGAGGCCACTCAGATCCGCTATGCCATCCTCACCTCGTGCGACATGATGGCAGCTGGGGAAGAATTCTCCAAGAAGCCATTTGCCATTGCTGTCACCAAGGGCTCGCCCCTCAAAGACCTGTTCTCGAGGGCGTGAGTGACAGTGCTTACATACATACATCTTTTTTTTTACATCTATCCTCTACCCTCTTTTTAATTTACTTTAAATTTTTTTAATGCTTTTTTGTGTGGAAATGTTACATTTTTTTTAACAACAAACTTCATTTTTTGAAGTGATCATTTATGGATTTTTAATTTTTATCTTTTTTTTTTTTTGAAAAGCATGTGCAAATGCATTTTTGTTGTTAGCCATGTCAAACTGGCAAACTTTTTTGAATTTTGATAGTGTGAATAATTTTTTTGCACTTGGCTACTTTTTTGGCCACCAGAAATATTTTTGTGATTTTTAAGCATGGCTTTTTTCAAGCTAAAGTGCAGCCATAAATCAGCATGGATTTTCTTGTCACAATTTTTTGAAAATACATTTTTTCTACTACACAATAAACTGCTACAAGTAAGATCCCCTCAGGTTCATATTTTTAACATGGCCATCATTTTCTGACCATGACATGTATAACAAACACCATCAACAGAATTAAACATATGAAATATAAAAATGTTACATTTTAACAAGAAAAAATTCAACAAAACACACAAGACATCTTCATTATCTAGCAAATACTTATATGTACATTACTAACATACATTTGTTTTCATAACAAGTATAAACAGTTCACTTATGTATATAATCCAACTACACACACATTGATGGGAGTTCATCAACATTTCCTTTTCACATAATGTACATGTGTCAGTCTCTTTTTGAGATGCTTTGGACTTGTAATATTAGGCAAGTTCAATATTTGCATCCCACAGCCTTATTCACGTCACTGCCTGTTTGATCTATGCCACACCATATCCTGGCAAAGCAGCTTGGCATCTGTGCCCTTCTGGTTTTATAGTACAAACTGTTTCACCTGAGTTTCCTCCCTTCCTTCCTCCTCCTCCTCCCATTCCCTCACAGGTGATGCCACAGACATTCGTTATCAAGTGTTGACCAACTGTGACCTGCAGATCGTCGGTGAGGAGTTCTCTCGCAAGCCTTATGCCATCGCAGTCCAGCAGGGCTCCCCACTTAAGGACCAGTTCAATGATGCGTAAGTTAACCTTCATGTGGTAGAATGTCCACTTTCCACTCAGCCTTATCCTTTCTCTGAGCTATGTTGATCAGACCCTGATCCATCGTGAGGCCTGGTCATGGACTGGGCTACAGGGGCGTTGACCCCTGGAACACTCTCCAGATATATTCCAGTTAATGTATCTTTGATGCAGACTCATTCTGTCTTTTCTCTTAAGACACTGAAATCTCCACCCTGCATACAGTTTGTTCCAAGTGGCAACCTATTCATTGCTAAGAGTAGATTATCATTCAGCTCATGCACTGAGGTCCAGAGTTCAAATCTCTGGTACAGCTGGAAAACATTAGGACGTGTTTCTTTAAGACTCCTGCTGTCCATGTTCACCCATGAGTATAAAATAAGTATCTGCGTGTTAGTTGACTGGTGTGGGTCACATCCTGGGACAAAACTGACCTAATTTGCCCGAAATGCTCTTCATAACAAGCAGCTTTCTATATATGTAGTAGTATGTCATGATGTCAAATAGGCCTGTATACCTTATACATGTACTTGTAGAAATAAAAATATTATTATTATTATTATTTTATTATTATTATTTTTTTTTATTATTATTATTATCACACTGGCCGATTCCCACCAAGGCAGGGTGGCCCGAAAAAGAAAAACTTTCACCATCATTCACTCCATCACTGTCTTGCCAGAAGGGTGCTTTACACTACAGTTTTTAAACTGCAACATTAACACCCCTCCTTCAGAGTGCAGGCACTGTACTTCCCATCTCCAGGACTCAAGTCCGGCCTGCCGGTTTCCCTGAACCCCTTCATAAATGTTACTTTGCTCACACTCCAACAGCACGTCAAGTATTAAAAACCATTTGTCTCCATTCACTCCTATCAAACACGCTCACGCATGCCTGCTGGAAGTCCAAGCCCCTCGCACACAAAACCTCCTTTACCCCCTCCCTCCAACCTTTCCTAGGCCGACCCCTACCCCGCCTTCCTTCCACTACAGACTGATACACTCTTGAAGTCACTCTGTTTCGCTCCATTCTCTCTACATGTCCGAACCACCTCAACAACCCTTCCTCAGCCCTCTGGACGACAATTTTGGTAATCCCGCACCTCCTCCTGACTTCCAAACTACGAATTCTCTGCATTATATTCACACCATTATTATTATTATTATTATTATTATTATAATATTATTTTTCCCTCTAGTCTAGATTTTTATAAATCACTTTGAATGCATAGTCACTGGAATATTACCTCAACAGTAATTTTTTTAGAGCTTAAGGTTTCTGTTATCACCTGAAAACTTGATAGGTCATGTTATCAAGGGTACCTTTAATTTTGTGACAAGTACTGATAAATGAGAGCATGGACTCTATAAATCTTGTTTTTAAAAGTTATCTAAAGTAATATTTAAATAATCAATACCATTAAAAAAGATCTACATAGTATTCATTGTTGAATACAATCTGATAATTGTCACTCACTAATTCAGTACGTAATAAGTATGAGGTTAACATGAAAATTGAATATTAAAAATGATAATGACACTTTTTATTTAAAAAATAACAGATAGGCAGTGATGTGACTGAGTGAGTCAGAGTTCTTTCTAATAACACTTTCTCTTTAACACATAATTCTACTCCACTTCAGTATACTACCAATTATTCTGCACAAGAAGCCTGCATATTGGATAGTACCTTTCATTAGACCATCATATTGTACTTCATAGTGAGTCTTAAGTGTTGACAAGGAGCAAGAGTCTTATTGTGAAAAAAGCCACTTATTAACAGTTCAGGACATTTATTAGAGGAAATGTTTGGCAATGAGTGACTTCTTCAAAACCACTCATGGCAAAATGTTTCCTCTTGGTAAATGTCTTGAACTGTACATAAGTGTCTTCTTGCACATCTTGTCGGCATCACCATACCATTTTTCAAGAGTTTTATTAGCTAAAGAGCTTAAGGACAATGGTTTAATCTTGGGATGGGTAGAGATGTTGGGTATGTTTCCATAACTCTTTTGTTCCTGTTCACCCAGGAGTAAATAGGTACCAGTGTGTTATCTGATATTTTTGGTTACATCCAGTGTAACATAAGTCTCTCACATTTTCGTTTATACGATCCTCCTATAGCAATTATTTTTTGTTAATGATTATTGTTATTGTTATTATTACAATCAAAACTAAATGGTAAACCCACAAGGGTTTTTGCAAATGATAACTCATAAGTTCCTCTGTCTGATATTTTCAATAGTTTTTTACTCAGTATATATTCTTCATGTTGCTTGATTTTGCATTCTTCAATTTCCACTGCTTGGCATTTATCTGTATTAAATTCCATTTGACATCCATCTTTCACTGTTTGCTCAATTTATCCAAGCCATTCTGTAGGTTAATCTTAGCAATCACTTATTTAACCATTTCTGTCCGCTGCTCAGTATTGTATTAAGTGGATGTGAAGGTGTAATGGGTACAGGTATGGGCATGAGCACACAATATGTAGAACAAGGTTTGATTGCAAGAACATTTTATCATGACTTGAACAAGGTTTTATTGCAGGAACATTTTGCCCAGAGTATTTTTATCATGACTTGATGAAGCTCCACTGTGTTTAAAACATTGTCCCTACAAGATTGTTCTATATATTGCATCTTCATACTCATAATATTGTATATGTGTGTAAATATTATATAGCGTTCATGGGGACGTATGGTGTTGGGAGTGTTTCGGACATTCAAGGTTAACTTATGACAACTTACAAACCTAGAAATAATTTTATATTTTTTGTCCTTTTGTATACTTATTATTTCCTTTATATGTACAGGACCCAGTATTAATAAATTTGAACTTCAAACTTCCCACATCACATTTGAACCGTACAGTTTGGCATGTATCGTATCCCATTTTTTTATCCTTTAAAAACAATTCTTGCTTTTCCTCTTTTGATGTCGCATGTTACTGTGAATGCACATTATTATTCATAGTTATTAATAATAAGTGAAGGGAAAATTTTTGTATGTTTGTACTTTTTAATATTTTTTTATAACTTTTACTTTTGTCATTGAGAATTTTTACATTCATTTTAATGAATTTTTTTTTTTGTGTGTGTGTGTGCTTTTGCCTTCTCTTCTGGATCTTATTGATATTTTACAGTGCTGTTACTTCTAAATATTTATTAATTGATCTTTCTCCACTTTCTCTCTCTCTCTCTCTCTCTCTCTCTCTCTTCCTATTCTCCTTCCATTATTATCAATTCCTCTACTGGCCCTCCATCACCTTACCATAATCCTCTATAACATGCTCTCCTCCTCTTCCTTTCTACCAATTCATGTCATTTTGAATTCATCACTCTTTCACATTCTTGCATTACTGTCTGTCTTTGCTTATCTTCCATCTCTTTTTAATATCTATGGCCACTCCATCTACCTCTCTCTGTCCTACTCATGGTACCTTCATTCTTCATGCCCCAATTTTATCTTCCCCTCTTCCATTTCCCTTCCCTTCCTTTGCTTCCATCCTCCCCTTCCTACTCTTTACTTTCCACTCCTCTCCATCCCTCCCTTCCATCTCCTCTCTTCATCTCTCTCTACTTCCTCCACCCCTTCCTTCATTTCACTCTACCCCTGCTTCCACCCCCTTCCTCCCTCCCTTCTTCCTGCTCCTCCGTGGAACCTGCAGAATCCTGAAGCTGCTGAACCAGAGAAAGCTGGAGACCCTGAAGGAGCGCTGGTGGAACCAGAACCCAGCAAAGAAAGTTTGTGAAAAGGACGATGACCAGAGTGATGGCATCAGCATCGAGAATATTGGTGAGTGGCTCATAGGGTAAGAGTAGGGGGTATAGGTTGATGAAGGGAGGATACAGAGAAAGGAAGGGAGAGGAGTGAGAAAAGATAGCGACGATGTAGGGAAGTTGGAGGAGAGGGAAGAGAGATGAGGGTGGAGGAAGAGGTACTTAAAGGAGATGAAGGCAAAAGAGAGGAAGGAAGAGGAAATATAGAATTGAGACAAGGTTATTAGGGATAAAGAGGGCAAGGAAAGAGTGGAAAGTGGGGGATATAAAATAGGTATGAAGAAAGTGATAGAGAAAGAATAGAAAAGGAATAGGCATTAGAGCAAATATGAGAGAAATAGTGAGTGGGTGAATCAGTTTTCTAGAAGAGTCATGCAAGTGGAAGTCAAACTACAGCCTGGTCAGCCACAGTGCCATGCTAACTCACTGTTGCTCTGCTCTCCAGGTGGTGTGTTCATCGTGATCTTTGTGGGCATTGGATTGGCATGTGTGACCTTGGCCTTTGAATACTGGTGGTACAAGCATCGCAAGGGACCCCAAGTCTCAGACTCAGCGAAGGTGCTCACAGTCAGAGAGTATCCCACCAGTGACAACAAGGGCAAATCCAACTTCACCACAGATTACAAGTACTTAATGAGACATTTGTTTCATATTATTATTTTTTTTTTTTTTTTTTTTTTTTTTATCACACCGGCCGATTCCCACCAAGGCAGGGTGGCCCGAAAAAGAAAAACTTTCACCATCATTCACTCCATCACTGTCTTGCCAGAAGGGTGCTTTACACTACAGTTTTTAAACTGCAACATTAACACCCCTCCTTATTATTATTATTATTATTATTATTATTATTATTATTATAAAAAAGAGGTGCTAAACCTACAAGGGTCATACAGCTCATAATGCCTTAAATGGAGGCCTATCTTGTGAATATTATTTTGAATATATTAAATCTAAAAAGTGTGCAATCTGTTATTCCTCATTTTTTGATAGATTAATCAGTAGCTTGATCTGTTTATAACATAATTATGGATTGTCTATATTTGTTATTTTTCATGGAAATGTTATATCCATAAGGATCACACAGCAAATTGGGAATGGGAGGTAATTAGGTTCAATCCAAAGAAGGGTATCTTAGCTCCACTTCCTTGGACTTTGTAAGTGTGCTGCTAAATATTGTATTTGTAATCTTAGGTTAAATTGTTATTATGTATTCTGTTGCCCATCAAACGTATTTTATTTGACTTATTGTATCTGACACAACCTCATCTTTCTTTTTTTTCTAGAAGTGGCAGAGCTGGCTACCATATTTCACCTGTGTCTAACCCATGGTAGAGCACTGATGATGCTACCAAATAATGCAGTTGATATTCCTGTTCTTGTCGCTGCTATAGCTAATTCCTCTCGTGCAGACACAAGATTAATCTCATTGGAAGGCAAGAACTCTTCAAATGATACATGTAGTGAAGATGATGATGGCAATCAAGCAAATGTTCTTCAGTCATTTATATTCATTGTTACCCAAGATTTGCAGATCCTATTAATGGTTTAATGTCTGTTGGGACCTCCCTGCAGCAATAGTTAAAAATATTTCCTCTGTACATTATATTTTAATAATAATATGAATTATGCACCAATTTCCACAGGTCTGTTTCATTCCCATAAAATGTGCAATATATGCATAACTTTATATTTTGCAATATGCTCTTTAATATTTTCTGTTTATGTATGTAATGTTGTAGAGATAGACTTTGCTAACTTTTCCTACTTTGCCAGGATTATTTTGCTAAGTAATGAGAATTTATAGTTAGTTTCCTATAAATTTGCATAAAGTATCTACACATCAAAATTAGTATCATGCATCATTAATAAAACATTAAGGTTCGGTAATTAAAGCTAGGCTAAGCTTAGAAACACTTTGCTGCATGCAAACAACTTCCACCAAAGAAGTGCTTATATTTGCATAATTGCACTGTTATGTAGGATTATGTAAATACACCCTTGAACATTGTTATTTTTAACACATCTGCTGTTTCCCACAAAGACAGGGTGTCCACCCAAAAAAAAGAAACTGCATTCACCATCATTCAGTAGTTAGTCTTACCTGAAGTGTGTTCTGATATTACTGTACTTTGATACGTGTCATAAATACCAGACAACAGAACAGTATATATTCGCACACCATAATTTGCATGTCAGCAATGATGAGGGAAATAATTCAGTTGCTTATGTAATCATTGGCCAGATTAAGGGGCCAGCCAAGCAGCTGCCTAGGTCACTGATTTGTAAGGACTACCAAAAACATGAGATCCAGGAAAAGGACTATTAATAATATAAATAATTCCATACTACTGGTTTATATCAATAAACAATATAAATAATTCCATACCACTGGTTTATATTATATCACTGAATGAGAAAACCATCACATACTGTAATTGTAATGCAACATCTTACTTCATATGTTTTAGGATTTAATCGAGACTCAAATTCTTGCAGGATATGTTCCAAAAGGTCTCATGAATCAGGCATTTTCAAATATGTAACACGGACTGTACCCATATAACGGGTTTTATTTCAGAGCTATGTTCATTATGTTTCAGAGGCCACATTTTTTCAGATATTATTCTAATTGATTAATGTTGGATTTCACCAAATAGAATGTCCACAAAATAAAAACAAATGGTTTAATGTGGAAAATTCATTTAGCACATTTTAGGATGCAATCACTTCTAAGAAACACAATAAGTAATATAAATATGTGAGAATAACTAATACTGCAGTTGAATATGAGTGAAATATTTGGTAAAATTATCAAGAGTAAACGTATGGTCAGAGCCCTTGTTGATTTAACAGTTTACCATATAATAAATTTCACATTCTGTGGTTGAAGTTGTAACACTCTACTTTTCATCAGCCACTTCAAGAGACATAATCAAATCCTTATAAATTTTTATAGTGAAAGGTAACAATAGATGGTGCAAAATCCATGCTGGCATTGCTAGATGCTCAGACTGCCGAGTCCTTTGATTCGGTGGGTATTTTCTCTGATTACCACTGATTCCCAGGATATATACGTAGTACTTCAGTAGGTTAATTGGTGGGTTATTTAAAATTTAGCATTGTATGAGAGCTCACGGGTTAAGATTTGTTATAGTAAATGCATGCAGGTAAGGGCATGGCTATATATCTAATATCCTACAAAAGCAAAATTGTGTAGTATTGCTTTTTATGAGGCAAAATTTGGGAAAAGATATTAGTCACATTGTAATTCATGGGTAAAATTTTTCTTTGCAGTTTTGACTTAATGATTATGAGAAATATAAGGTACTAGTGAACCCCTCAAGAGAGTGCCTTGATGCTGGTGAGGGGCTCTTGATCCAAGGAATTGGACCTATCCTCTCTTTCCTTGGAATGAACCTAATTGACTCCCATTCACCAGTGGCCTGGTGGCTAAAGCTCTCACTTCACACACTGAGGGCTCTGGTTTGATTCCCTGCGGGTGGAAACATTTCAACGCGTTTCCTTACACCCGTTTTCCTGTTCACCTTGCAGCAAATAGGTACCTGAGTGTTAGTCGACTGGTGTGGGTCGCATCCGGTGGGGGGGGGCAAAGACTGAGGACCCCAATGGAAATAAGTTAGACAGTCCTCGATGACGCACTGCCTTTCTTGGGTTATCCTGGGTGGCTAACCCTCCTGGGTTAAAAACCTAAAGAAAATCTAATCTCTCTTAAGGGTTTATTGCCTTCTCCTGGTTATAACTAATCACTGAAATGGCCAAAATTGCTGTAATATATATATAAAATGTTAAATATTTATTTACATATTTATTTATGCATATCCTGTATAGGTATTTACAAAATTTTGCACACAAAATTAACTTGTAAAGAATTTTCTCTAGTTTTCGATTTTTATGAGTATTTGTAAGTTACATATATCCTCCCAATGTATATTTATAGATTATTATTGTTATTATTATTATTTAATGACTAGTACCTTTAAGTGGTTTCCTGAATTGTTTGTTTCTTCCAGTTTTCATTCATAGAGGGAAAAAGGGAATGAATGCATACCCTCAAGTCATGCTTATTGAAGATGTTTCAGTCCTGGGACCTTAATCACTTCAAATACAGTACCTGTGTATTTGAAGTAAACAAGGTCCAAGAGCAGAAGTCTTCAGTAAAGGTGTGCTAAGTGCATGCATGTGTGTCCATTTACTGGTAACTGTCGGCAGTCACTGGCCTTCTTATTGTATATTTTCATTGATAACCTGAGAATGTCTCAGCTGATTGATTTCAGATTTTCAATGCTAGGGTACTGTAATTAGGGAAAGGTACACTGAACTGTTGTATTGACATGTGCAGATACATAATGGTCAGTTTTATATATAGAGGGCCACTCTTCTGATTAGCTTCAAACTTTCAACACTTGTATATACTAAGAGGGTTGGAATTGCCCATTTTATTTTTAAAGTGCTGTAGAATTACTCAACATAAAATAATTTGAGTATGCCACTTCTTGAGTGGCTGATGCATCCTGTGACAAGGATGATATCCACTCGAGTTTTAGCTGTGTAGGTGCAAATCTGCCAGTTTACTAACATAGTTAATAAATGTGGAATTGTTGGATTTTTGATAGCTGAGACTGCATCTTGTGGTCTATAGAAGTATAAGTGAAAGAGTTTGGGGTAAGACCCGAAATGCTCTGCATATAAAGGGGCTTTTGGCATGTTCACCAAATTGTTACATTCCTTTGTACAAACACGTATCATGCTACAATAAAGTTTTCATTGTCAAGACAAGGATTTAGGAAGGGTAGGGAATATGTAGACCAAGTATCTACTGTAAGGCACATAAAGTAACAATATTTAGATAAGGATAAGGAATGGCTTGTCACAATTGTAGATTCAGGAATGGCATTTGGTAGAGTGAATAGTAGAGCAATGTGGCAGATGTTGCAAATGCTTGGAATTGGTAGTACGTTTTTAAGAACAGTAAAGAGCCTTTATGAGGAGAGTGAGGGTCAGGTTAGAGTATATAGAAGAGAAGGGGACTGTTTTCCAGTAAAAGTAAGCCTTAGGGATGTATGACGTCCCCACAGTTGTTTCCCCTGTCTTCATATAGATTTATTGTATATAAATTGCAGTTATATGATGTCTAATATCTATCAGTAATTTCATATATGGGATAAATATTTGCCATTTGGGATCAGTACATTTTGTGAAGTGTACAGAAGAGCTTAATTATGCAGAATTAAGTGTTGATAGTCTGAGTGAGCTTACTGTGGCTGCCAAGGGCCTGGAACTCATCTGCTACTTACAGCCAGGCACCTGTGTTTATAGATGGAGTTATAAAAAAAGTAATATGATAAATGTTAGTGTGTTGGGCAGAGGTGTGGGGTTAAATGTTATGTAGCTAAATATTTTATGCCAATTGTTTATATAATGTATGGTGTAGAATCATTTATATTTGACATAAAAATGAAGCATAGTATATAAAATTGCAAATAAATTATACTGTTTCTGTGTGGTTTTGCTAAAATAATCATTGTATTTTTCAGGTGTATAAATTAAGAAGCACATGATGTTTTACAACTTGTAATGTTAAGCCATATTTCTCATTGAAACTAAATAAGTATTCTTGAGTCACACACTGTATTTGATGGTGGCTTAACTATAGCACTTTACTTAAGAAGCCAATAAGATGTTACCCAACTCTGTGTAAACAAAAACATACATACGTAAAGGCCTAATTTTTTTAACATGAGCTGTTTCCTTGCAAGGAAGAGTGACCAAAAAAAGGAAGTACATTCACCATCATTCATTCCATAGATGTCTTTCCAGAAGTGTGTAAACCTCACAATGTACAGTGGACTCCCGGTTATCGGCTGTAATCCATTCCAGAAGGGTGGCCGATAACTGAATTAATATTTCCCATAAGAATTAATGGAAATACAATTAATTCATTCCAAACAAAAATATCCACAAAAAAATATTTTTTTTTAACAATTATGTAAGTATTATATACCTTTAGTGAAGGCTAATGCTGGCTTCTGGAAGATAGGGAGGAGGAAAGAGGGAGGAGTTAGTGTTTGGAAGGGAAATCCCCCTCCATAAAGACTAGGTAGCAAAGCCTTCCCTGGGGTTAAATCCCTTCTCTGTCTTTTATTGCCACTAGGACCAGCTTGAGAGTCACTGGACCCCTGTCTCACAAAATAACTGTCCAAAGTGCTCTGTTTCTGGCATCTCTTTAAGATTTCCCTGAAGTGGGACAGGGTTTTGTCACTAAACATGTTGCAGATATAGCTTGTTTCAGCTTTGTCAGGGTGGTGTTTCTCTACAAAAGCTTGCACCCTAGTCCACATTGCACACACCTCTTTAATCTCTGAAGAAGGCACCTCCTTCACTCCCTCTTCCTCTTCCTCTGAAGCAAGTTCCTCAGCTGCAGTCTGTTGCTGTTTGAGATGAATCTCTTGCAGCTCTTCAGTGGTTAGCTCTTCTCTGTGGTCCTCCACCAACTCTTCCACATCCTCACCACTCACCTCCAACCCCAGGGACTTCCCCAGTGCCACAATAGAGTGCACAGGGTTGGCAGGGTCAGAGTCAGCCTCAAACCCTTCAAAATCCCTCTCTTGGACACAATCTGGCCACAGTTTTCTTCAAGAAGAGTTCAAAGTCCTGGAAGTCACTCCCTCCCAAACCTTACCTATTATGCTTATGCAATGGAGGATAGTGAAGTGATTCCTCCAGAATTCTCTTAGGGTCAACTGAGTGAAGTCACTTCAAAGCACTTTTGAAACACTGCTTTTGTGTAGTGTTTTTTGAAGTTAAAATGACCTGCTGGTCCATGGGCTGGAGGAGAGGAGTGGTGTTAGGAGACAAGAACTTCACTGTGATGAAACTGAAGTCCCTAAACACTTGGTCTTGCAAGTCTGGAGGATGTGCAGGAGCATTGTCCAGTACCAGGAGACACTTGAGTGGCAATTTCTTTTCCAGGAGGTATTTTTTCACACTTGGGCCAAACACATCATTAACCTACTCTTTGAAAATTTGTCTTGTGACCCATGTCTTATGATTAGTTTTCCACATCACACACGATCTATTCTTCATGACATTGTTTTTCTTGAACACACTGGGATTTTCTGAGTGATACATGAGTAAAAGCTTTACTCTGAAAGTGTCCCCTCATGGAAGGTTCCTTGATGTTGGTGAGGGGCTCTTGATTTAGGGAATTGAATCTGTGCTCCAGTTCCCCGAATTAAGCCTGAATGCCTTCCACATCCCCCCCTGGGCGCTGTATAATCCTACGGGTTTAGCGCTTCCCCCTTGATTATAATAATAATCTGAAATCCCCACTAGCATTACCACACAACAAAAGAGTAAGCCTGTCTTTCATAGGCTTGTGTCCTGGCAGTGCCTTTTCCTCCTGGGTAATGTAGGTCCTGTTTGGCATTTTCTTCCAAAACAGGCCTGTTTAATCACAACTGAACACTTGTTGGGGTTCGAATCCTTCAGCCTTTACATAGTCCTGGAATTCATGAACATACTTTTCAGCTGCACATTTGTCAGAACTTGCCGCCTCACCATGCCTTACAACACTGTGTATGCCACTACGCTTCTTAAATTTATCAAACCATTCTTTGCTGGCCCTAAATTCACAAACTGCAGCACTTGTTCCAGGCATTTTCTTTGCAAGATCCTCATAACAACTGCTTTCCCTTCTCACAAATGATCGACTCCACAACACTTGTCTCCCACTAATTCTTTTTCCATAATCCACAATATTATTATTATTATAATCAAGGGGGAAGCGCTAAACCCGTAGGATTATACAGCGCCCAGGGGAGGGGGGATGTGGAAGGCATTCAGGCTTAATTCGGGGAACTGGAGCACAGATCCAATTCCCTAAATCAAGAGCCCCTCACCAACATCAAGGAACCTTCCATGAGGGGATAATCCACAATAATAATAAGTTTTCCATCTCTTCCATTATTGGTGGCCTTTGTTTAGTTAGAAAAGTTACTCTTTTTGCAACATTAGCATCTTTGATTTGTTCTTTCTTTGCCAGGATGGATGTAATTGTTGATTTATTCTTGCTGTACATCCTGGCAAGTTCCATCACCTTCATACCACTCAAACTTTTCTGTCACTTCACACTTAAATTCCATGGTGTTTCTCACTTTCTTTACCACAGGAACTTTACTAGGAACTTTCTTTAGAGCCATCTTTACTTATTTCACAGTTGCACTGGGAGAAAAACCACCAAAAACAATGGTAAACAAGCGAAATGTTTGGATGTATGAGCAGAAGCTTTCTCAGCCATCAAGAGACTAAGCCAAACTAAAGTGCAAGCTGCCCCAGCTGGCGGATGGACGCATCCAAAACAGCTGATAACCGAGTGAGCGGCCGATAACCGGGCGCCGAAAAACCCGCCAATAACTGAGTTGACTGATAACCGATAACCAAACCGGCCGATAACCGGGGGTCCACTGTACTTGCAAAATGTTTTTCATCCAAACTTTAGTTTCACTTCAGCTTAATGTTGAGCCAAGTGCCCTAGATTTGCATTGCCAACTGTATAATTTGTAGATGAATGTCAATTTTTTAGGTACATTATAAAAATATTTGTGTAAAATTAGGTTTTACCGATAGAGAGTTTTGGGTTTTGTTATAGAAAGAAGATATATCTTGGCTATTTAGTCCATGTATGTGCTAAAAGGTTTTACAGGTAGAAATTTACAAGTGTGAAAACATTAAACTGAAGCCTCCCTACTTTGTAGAAGAATCAGATCCAAAGTAGAGATGCAGTAGACATTATAAAATAATTGCATAAAATCAGAGTCTGCAGGCAGCCTCATTTTGATTGTGTCATAGTATGTGTACAACTCTTCATTAATTTGTCTGTAAAATGTAAGTCTGTGACAAAGTTTGAGGTAGAAATATTCAAATAACTTTTCAGTTTAAGTCCAGTGTTAGGGTTAGTTCCTTCTAGGAGGAGGGATGCCTTGGTTCTGGTAAAGGACTCCTTGATCCAAGTAATTTTTAGCTATCTCACTTCTTTTTTTTAGATCAAGACTGCAATATATACCTTGCATTCCCCAAGAATTATACTATATTACCCCTACAAGTTTAGATTATTTTCATGGGGAAGCACTTAACCTGGCATAAGGTTCATAATACATCTGGGGGATGGGAGTAATCAGGTTTGATGAAGAACAGGATAGCTCCAATTCCTTGGGTTGGGCATTTCACTGTCTTCAAGGAAAATCCCCGTTAAAGAATCTTTAGGCTTACAGCCTGTGAAAGTTGGTCCTGCTGAAGTTTTCATATACTGGGTAACAATGTACGTATCTGTACACTGCTTTGTGTCAGATGATCCCTTGAATCTGGTGGTGGGCTCTTCATAGGACTGGGAGTGTGTCAGTGGCAGAATATACTGACAAGTTTGTTAGTAAGAAACAATATACAGTTTATAGCATTTTATTGAGATGTTTTGTCCACCATGGACTTTATCACTTCTCACAACTAAAACTTCTTCTCAATAAAATGCCATAAACCACATATTATGTCTTATTAACAAGGAATTAGAGCCATCCTCTTCATCAAATCAACAGTAGAGACTATGACAACCTGCCAGCTGTTGGTAACAAAGACACTACTACAAGGATGACCTTCCTCTCCCAAACATTTCACCAAACATTGTGCTTTATATGTACTTAAGAAATGAAAGGGAAACATTGTATACAAATAAGGTTCTTCACTGCAGTCCTTTCTTTACTTTCATTGGATCAAGCCTGATCACCTCCCATTATTTGCCCAGGTGTTGTATGAACCCTACACTTTTAGCAATTCCACATCAGAGTACATTTGATGCTGATGAGGGCTCTTGATCCTCCCCTCCCTTTGATCAACTCTTGATTCAATGCCTCCCATGCCATGGATTTAATGCTTACCCCTGATTAAAAATAAATAAAAAAGTACCATCCATTTTAACCTGTCTTATTAAGTCAAGTTCCCCACAAGAAGTTCCTTCAGGCTGGTGAGGGCTCTTGATCCAGGGAGTTGGACATGACTCCCTTGGATCTAACCTGAATGATTCTCATTCCCCAGGTGTATGTCTACTATGGGTGTAGCACTCCTGTATGAATATATTATTGCAGTATTTTTAACTGCTATTGAAAATTGGGTGTTGCACATTTTCACCAAAAAATAATGGATTTTTTGTCTCGATGTTCATTAACATTCTCTCTTTGTTTTGTAGGCTACAAATATAGTTTTGCTCTGGTTAAGGTAAATTTGTAAACCTTTGATGGATTTTTACCCGTAGGTTATCAATCAAAGATAACCAAGAAGTCAGTGCTCGAGATGTCTAATTTTCCTAATTAGGTTACTTTCCCATCACGAGTATTGCGCGCCACAACATCTGACTACTAAAAATACCCATGGTGCTGCCTTGAACAGTCTTTGATAAGGAAAACCGTGCGATTTCCACCCTTGGATAATCTAACTTGCGCTGCGTGCTACGACAAGATAGTGGAATTTTAAGAGCAGTGCATTTAAGGAACAATGTTGTAAACATTTCCATAATTTTACTGCAAAGGAAATTTTTTAAATAAAATACATAAAGCATCGATTTAAATAAAAAAACAAGAAAATGAACTTCTCCCACATACGGGGTCAATATTTTAGAATTACCTGTGATCTTAAACTCTTGGTGGCCTAGCTGCCTGACAAGTTTGATTCCAGAATTAACCTGTATTACCTTCCTTGGATCTTATCCTTATAATTCGAGGCTGCTGCATACACTACCACAATGTGAAAATCTTAAGATAAGTTATATTAAGTTAAACGGTACAGGAAAATATCCTAATATTAACTGCAAATGAAAATTGAAATAAAACTACATAAAAGCATCGTTATTTAAATAAAAAAAACAAGAGAAAATGGATAAGGTCTTCCTTTCTCAACCACACTACTGAGTGCAATAATTTTTTTTATGTATTCCCCTCAGTGGAGGTTCTTGACTCTGGTGAGGGGCTCTTAATCTAGGGAATTGGATATGTGCTCCGGTTCCCTGAATTAAGCCTGAATACCTTCCCCCTTCCCCCAACATGCACTGTATATTCCTACAGGTTTAGTGCTCCATTATAATAATTTTTATGTATTAATGATAGGTGTTAAAGGACTGAGGCAAATAATTAATTGATGAATTTTAAGTAAATTTATTTAGGTACAGGCCCCTCAAGGAAGGTTCCTTGATGTTGGTGAGGGCTCTGATCTAGGGATTGACTCCACAGTCCAAATTAAGCTGAATGCCTTCCATCCCTCCCCAGGGCGTCTTGTATAATCCTCCGGTTAGCGCTTCCCATTGATATATAATAATAATAATATAGTAAGGACATAAGTACAATAATATTTATAAAGTGTGAAATTACTAGAACCCAAAAGTAAAATTACGTATTTCCATTGGGGTTTGTATTCCAATGAAGACTAAATGAATTAGTGAGGAAAAAGGAATAATGTCCAAATTAATTATTTAGGGAAGTTGAAGCATCTTTCAAACCCAGAACTTAATGCAGTGACCAACAACACAGAATGATTTGCTGAGGTCATCCTGTTTGCATTTCATGGTAGAACTTTTCTCATTCAGCAATCACGGAAGCGATTGAAATTAGTATCATTAGGGTTTAAACAGTTAGGTAATTTGAATCTGATTTTAGACTTTGATTTAACCATGGAGTAAGAAGTCCAGCACTTGTAAGAGCTCCGCCACTCTGAGAGTTTACTTGGTGCTGCAGCAACACATCTAATTTATGACTTGCTGTCTCAATTCTGGACAACACACATTGTTAGGGGAACAAAACACACACACACATTCATTGTTAGTTAGGGGATCTTAGAAGAAATTAATTACATATACATATAATAAATAATAAATATATTTATGCATACATCTTTTATTAATTTGGTTTATTCAACGTGGGTGAGATCCATGCTAGTTTATCCTTGTTTTACAGTAAGGATAAATAGCAAACATCTATAATGAATTATGTTTTCACGAAGGAAAATTTAGTTAGTGTAATATCTTTATTCAGCACCCCATACCCAACCTGTGGGCGGAAGTCAAAAGATTACAGAGGTACATAATGGGTCCAGGGACTGGATTCCGAAGTTTTGATAGCTGAACAAGTTACAAAGGTAATGAGCTCCAGGTAGAGCTGGTCACACTCATGACAAGTTACAAAGGTTATGAACTAAGAACAGGAAAAAGCATTTGCTTCTTCATGTATGCTTTCCTTTCTTTACAACATTACAAAGGCTGTTTACATTTCCTTACACTTCCAGCTGCCAAAATATCTTTTTTTAATATTTATGCAGCCAGGATTTTCCCACTACAGATGGCAAATCACATTCTCATTGACTTCTTGACAACGACTGATTTACTCCACAAACTCTGATGATGATACCTTTCGCACTCCCCTCAGCCCTTTCTAGTTCAGTCTCTTGCTGCCCTTTACCCTTTCACCGTCCACTGCTCCGCTGTTATCCGTAACCTATTACTCGTCCACCTCCCTTTTGCCACCTGATGCCCTCGCTTCCTTCCTGCCCTGCAGCGCTGTATAGCCCTTGTGGCTTAGCGCTTCTTTTTGATTATAATAATAATAATCTCCCTCATGCTATAGGCAAACGGAAATTTATATATACTACAGACTGCCAAGCTCTCCCCCTCACACACTGTATAGTCCTTGTGGCTTAGCGCTTCTTTTTGATTATAATAATAATCCCCCTCACACTA